GCTTCCTGAGTAGAGTGGTACCACTCTGCTAATCGTGTGACAACAGAGAAAATCATATTTGGAGCCTCCAAGAAATCTAAAGTTGTAGTTGTAACTTTTAATAATGAAGGTGTTAGGAATTAGGCTCGGAAGCCTTGGGTCTTTGAGTTTATTGCGTATTTGTTTCCTTTGAAGGGGATCCCTCTCACGGTTCAAACTTGAGGCCTCGTGGGGCTCCTCTTGATTAAGAGGATTTCATGAGCAACTTTGGTACCACTTGAGCTTCGAGAGGGGAACAAATACACAATAAACCCAAAGGCCCAAGACTTCTGAGCCCAATCCCTAACAGAAGGCGATGCGGCGAAGGCGGCTAATGATTTTATCTTATCAACATGATGCACTTTAATGTTGTCTTGATAAGAGGGAATTAAGAACGGTTTGTCTTGTTAGGAAGAAATTAATTAAGAACGGTTTTTCTGATGAGCCGTGTAAAATATATATATTAATTGTATTTTTTTTTATTTACAGTATTTAAAAATAAAAATATATTTTTAATATTATCAATTATAAAGTATTTATTTTAAAAAACCTTGACTCGGGTCTTCCGCACCCACTCTCCAACTCATAGATCTCCATCGCCCAATGGTTTTCTTTGGTTTTAGTTGGCAGGAATCAGTATAATCCCATTGGATCCCTAAATCAAATACCACCTTCCCCACAACACCATGCATTATACACAAATAAAAAATGCAATATCAATTATGTAATGAGTATATTATGGAAACTAATTTTAAGATAAGCTTATATGTATGAATTTTAGTAAATTAATTGCTAAAAAAAATGCTAATATCTAGTTGAAAATTTAAGCTAATGAACAAAGGAATACACTCATTAATAATTTAAATAATTTAATAATATCCTTATTTTGTTAAAAATAAAAGATTAAGAATTCAAATTATATAATATATAAATAGAATGAGTTAAAAAATATAAAATGATTGTCACTTATTATATAATTCAAAAAAATAAAAATATAAAAAAATTATCTTTTATTATACAATTAAAAAAATAATAATAAAAAAAAGAAGGAGATCAACAACAACACAAACAGATGCACTCAGCCTTCTATATAGGGTACGCAAAATTAAGATAGAGATGTACATATAACTCTTATCAAGGCCAAGTCCCTCAATCAAACACTTTTGTTGTGTATATATATATATATATGGCAGAATCAACACCACTCCTCACTCACTCCGACCACTTACCGGAGTCAAAATGGCCTTGCTCCCTCGACGAGACGATTGAAAGGTGCATCGGAAACTTCAATTGGGTTCAGTTATTGCAAGCAGTCATTGTGTCATTTGCTTGGGTCTTTGACGCACAGCAAACCTTCATCAGTGTCTTCACGGATGCCGAACCATCATGGCACTGTACTGGCAGTGGATCATCCTGTAGCTCAATCTCTGATATTTGTCAACTCTCCAAGAACTCATGGTCTTGGGACTTCCCAGCACACACATCAACTATATCGGAATGGGGCCTTGAGTGTGCCAGCTCTCTTGTCAAAGGCTTACCGGCTTCCTCTTTCTTCGCCGGTTGTCTTTTCGGTGGACTGCTTCTTGCGACGCTGGCTGATTCTTCACTCGGCCGGAAAAACATGCTCTTGTTGTCATGTCTGATGATGTCTCTGTCTTCTCTGTTTACTGTCTTCTCCACCAATATATGGATGTACTCTGTTTTAAGATTTGTCAATGGATTCGGCCAAGCTACAATTGGGACATGTGCGCTCGTGTTATCGACGGAGCTCGTCGGTAAACGGTGGCGAGGTCAGGTGGGTGTTATTGGTTTCTTCTGTTTCACGTTAGGATTCCTGTCATTACCGGCTATGGCTTATATAAACAGGGGATCTTCATGGAGGACTCTGTATCTATGGAGCTCTGTACCCACGATTTTCTATTGTATTCTAGTTCGATTATTGGTTCACGAGTCACCCAGATGGCTTTTTGTTCGTGGACGCAAGGAGGAGGCGGCGGCAACGCTCAAAAGTATGGCGGCTACTCGCGATGATATCGCAACTATGAGCTTCTCAAACGTGAAGTTGGAACAGGGGACATCCGATGCTGATCTGTTCTCGGCTGTTAAGATCCTCCTAGAGAAAAGATGGGCCTTTCAGAGGCTATCAGCAGTTATGTTCACCGGATTCGGGATCGGAATGGTATATTACGGCATGCCACTTGGTCTCGGAAATCTGCAATTCGATCTGTATTTGAGTGTAACATTCAATGCCTTATCAGAGCTACCTGCGTCCCTGATCACATTTTTCCTCATCGGACAACTGAGCAGAAAATGGTCATTGCTCGGATTCACAATCTTGAGCGGAATCTGTAGCATTCTGTGCGTTGTTATGGGGAAAGTGTCCGGAAATCTGCAGGTGGCATTGGAGTTAATCTCTTTCTTCAGCGCATGCTCTGCTTTCAACATGGAATTGATATACACAATTGAGCTGTTTCCGACGTGCGTGAGGAACTCAGCCATATCAATGGTGAGGCAGGCACTGGTGCTGGGCGGGGTTTTCAGTCCGGTGCTGGTGGCCGCCGGACGGTCAAACGGGTTCATGTCATACGGGGTTTTTGGTGTGGTAGTGGGATTGTGTGGGCTGACTGTGCTAGGTTTGCCGGAGACGAGAGGAGGGACACTGTCGGATACAATTGATGAAGAAGAGAACAAAGAGACGGCTGCAGCAGTCTTGGTTTGATTAATTAAAAGCTGTTGTGTTCTTAAATTGGAGAATGTTTATCGGTCCAGCGCCTAGTTGCCCAACCCTTTTGAGAAAAGTTGCTAGATGGTGAGGTTTGGGTTCGAACCCAAGCACTAATGTTTCTTACCCTCTAGTTCCTCTTGTTCAAAAAAAAGAAAAAAAAAGAAAAAAAAAAAGACACTTTGTTAGATTGGGAATTTTTGTGTGCATTAATTGGCTTGATTTCATAAAGGGTTTTGGCTCCTTGTAAATGATGGTTAGATTTTGAGATTGAAAACAAAAATAAAAGCAAAAAAAGATGGATAGTGATATAAAATAGAGAGATATAAGTAGAAGAATAAGTATAAAAAGTGTTTTGTTTTATGATACAAACTGTATTAATTTTTAAAACATAAGTTATTATATAAGATTTTTAATATCAAGGAATTCACTTCTATTTAATAATTTTGATTATATAGTTCAATATAGTCTAAAATATACAATATTTTCTCCAAGTATAAATTAGAGATACAAAAGGGTACAAAGAGATTATGAAGAGTTTTTATCCTTTTTCTTTCTTTCACTTTTTTTTTTTTTAATACAAGTTACACATGTATATATACTAGTAGGTGGCAGGAGTTAGATTAATCAACTCTTAAACAAGGAGTCATATGGATTTAATCACTCACTAAATTACTTAGGGGTTACATGATAAGACATAATCAATATTTTAACTATATAAGAAATGAATGCTAATCCCCATTACATAATGTATAAATATACAAGAAAATAAAGATGTGAAAGATGTTTAAGGTGAAATATCCGCAACCAATTTGGTTTGTGACTGACAGGTACAAGTAGCTGGTGGCCTGCTGCTCCCCCCCACGGCCCACCCCCTTTCTTTGGGGCCAAAAAATAGCCGTTGCTTGTTGGGTGTATTGTTTGCATATAAAAGTGTGGGCTCAGCTCTTGCTCAAGCTGGCCCGGGTCTAGGGATTGATTTGGGAATATCTAGCCCATTTTTAGTCCAAATGACAATTTGACAAGCTTAAGCTGGCCACTTGTCCTGAAATTCACCTTAGGGTCCTTAGCCCTTATATATCTCGATGCTATAGGCCCAATAGCTAGCCCTTTATCATCCAATCTTTAGAAAGGTTTCTTAATTTAAAAAAAAAAAAGTTTTACGTCTGAATTAATTTAGACTATAAAATATTAATCATTTGATAGTGGATTAGGTTTCTTGATATTTGGAGTTCTCCCCCATCATATGGTTCCTATTTTACAATCCAAATTAATCCAAATTGTAAAACAAAATTCTCCTTAATTAATTATGCAACCCTTTCATAATTTCTTTTTTTTTTTTTGAACAAAATTCCTAATCAAATTGAGTATTGGCCCTTGCAAAAATTGAAGCATTTTGGTGTTAAGGCCATAAATCTTCTCACATCCCTTAACCTCATTTTACACGCAAAGAAAAGTAAAATTTTTTGATAAATAGTAACCAGTGATTAGTTTTTGCATTCCAGCTAGTAAACTTACCATTACTCCATTACTCAATTTGGTCGGTCGAATGTACCCTGGTCGTCCTTTGCAAGGCAGTGGTCAATATATATTTGCATTTTTTAGTCAAATGAGTAAAGCACGTTATTAAAGATTAATGCAAATTATATTACTCCTAAATCACACTTATCAAATAGATTTGTTTGAAGTGTAAACTTGATTATCCACCATACTACTTCATCCTCATCTTCCCCCATTTTTCTCCGGAACAAGTATTGGCAAACTGTTAATATTTAATTTTTTTATTATATCATATCAAAATTTTATTTTATAGTCTGAACTGTAATGAATTACAAAAAATTTATATTCAAATTGAAAAAGATCTCTTAATATTCAATCTTCCTCCATCTAAGAATCCATATTTTGAAGTCCGGCTAACAAGGGACCCATATTATATTCATAATCCAATCCATAGAGTGAAAACTTGACAATCACTACTCTTGTCCGTTACTAATTTATTTTCTATGTTAGGTATGTTCGTAGTTCTTAATAAATTAGTATTAATTTCCGAGTTTTTTAATTAATCTCATATCATACGCCATCGCTAAATATGTTTATCAAGAAATTGAAAAAATGAAGTAAAAGTGAAGGTGAAGATTTTAAAGATAACCCATTAACCAGGGACCATTAATGTAATATATTGATGTGCTGAATTGGGATTTTGCTTGGAACCATAGCTATTTCTTTGTGCAAGAAAAGAACCTAAGGAAGTAATTAAGGTCTTATATTAACAATGTTAATAAATAGTTTAATGATTTACTAGAAGGGTACTCTTCCATTTGGCCTTAAAAGAGAAAAGGAAAAATTGTAATCTTTCCATTTAGATAAAATTAAGATTAAGCGAAATACTTCATCCAAAAAAAAAAAAGGTTAATTGAAATAAGCAAGTATTTAGTCTTAATCTTCAATTAAGAACCGAGACTTAAAAACAAAAAAAAATGGCCAACAAGCTTTAAAAGATTATTAAGGACAGAAAGAAAATAATCCCAAATGTCTTCTATAGAAAGTTATTTTCTGTAATAAAATAGAATCAACAATGGTAGAGTCTTTCTGTCAAAAAAAAAGAAGCAATGGTAGAGTCTTGATAATTAAAATAATTTTATTATTAATATAAAAAACTCCTACAATCTCCTAGTAAGGGTTCCAACGTACGCTCTCTCTCTCCATCCTTTTTTCCTTTCCTCACAAACTTGGCACTTATTCTCATACATAAATAATAATAATAATAATAATAAATATATAAATAATATTTAAATTATAAATAATTATTAAATATTAACTAGTATTTATTATTATTATTTTTTTCATAGTTACACACCTCAACAAGCCTAATGACGGTTTTTTTTTTTTTTCTTGTTTAGCATTTAACCATTTTATTTGCGTCGCCCAATTTGGTGTTCCCACGTGGAGTGACTTGGAAAAAACGACATGGCACGCCAGATTGCAGCCTACCTATGACGTGGCATTAATGCCGGAGCCTGCAATGTCACAGGAAACCTTTGTACTCCACATATATTTATATTACAAAATTAAGAAATGATTACCAGAATGACAAAATTAATTAGTGACTGATCCACTCCATCTATTACCCCAAACAAAGGATAACCAAAATCAAAAGACGTGTAGATACCCCAAAACAAGTAACCGTATCCACTCAATCATTGGTTTAACCCTAATCATACATTTGTATCTTTAATTTGCTTACTTAAGACAACTTAAACAATAATTGCTAGAGAGAAGGGAATGCTTTCAAGCCAATTGACTAAATCTCTAAATTTTCACTATTTTTTTTTTTTTATAGGTAGAACTATTTGTTCTATACTATTAAAAAACAAAAAAAACTAATAAAAAACATGTTGTTATAGAGAAAATCTGTTGTATTCCAAAGATACTACATTAGTAGCAACCTCGACGGATCATAGCTTGCTACGTCATCAATTTTTCCACCTCATTAATCGATACTATTGAGGTGAAAACAAAGTGACGACATGGTATGTTGTTATTGGTTAAGAATACTATTGATATGGTGTTCTTAGAATACAACAAACTCTTTCGTTGTTATAATATGTATGGTTTAATTGTAACAATTAATTAAAAATATGCTAATTTACATTTTTTTTTAAAGATTATTGTATATATCTATTTATTTAATTAATATTGTAAATCGTAAAAGTTTAGCAAGTGGTCCACTCCATCTATTTGTAAATAATTTAGAAAAGGGGTGATCATGAATTGCAAATATATATGCAATAGGAAAAACAAGATTATTTTATATATATATATATATATATATATATATATATTTGGCTATCAACAAACAAGCAAGACATTTGTATAGGATGTGGTGCACAAGATAAACACATAAATTGCATGGGACATCACGAGACCAAGACATCTATGTTTGGCTTCAAGCACACTTCAATCCTCCTTAATCAATTCCAGCGATTAATCGTAATAAAACCATAATCATCACTTGATCATATATATTATAGATGTCACTGTTTCCAAAGAATTCAGTTATATTGATTTCTTGTTTAATTCTCTCCTTGATTTCTCTCTGACGATTTTCCCTTTCTAGGGCGATAAGATTTTGTAAGCTTTTTATGGGAGAGCGGGTAACAAAAGAATCTATATGGTCAATTACTTTCTCAAGTCATTCATTAAATTATTGCTTCAAAAAAGCCAAAATTCCACAGTGAATAAAACTTTGTATCAATGGAGGGGAGAAAATTAGTGAGTGCCTATTAGTGATAATTAACATGACCAAATTAAAGATGTCTCTTTTGCATTGCTTTTTCTAACTTTACCATCATGGTGGACCGCTAATTCCTTAGTTTAAAATTCTTTACACAATAACTATAATTAAGACTTTAAGCACATGTTGAGCTTTGGTTGATAATTGAAGTAGTTTTGTCACTAATATACAAGACTTCCATACTTCTATGATAAAAGTTCAAATATGCGCCTCCCCCCCCCCCCCTCCCTGTCTCCCTTTCTTCACAGGTTTGAGCTACTTGTTCCATTACATTAAACAAAAAAAAAAATCTAAACACATGATTATGTGTGTGTGTGAAGGTAAATAGGAATGATGATGTTTAGTCATGTTTAAGTTCTCCAATCATATTAAACTAACGTGTTGTGATAATGGTCGTCCCCCGCTTCTTTTCTTAATCTTAATTATTCCTTCTAAACAGAGAAAGTTAGTGTAGCTTTTAAATATTTAGATTAATAAGGCACAAATGAAAGTAATTAATTTGTTTTACTGTATATAGTATTAGTCATTAGAATCATTAAGCTCTCCTCGTGTCCGCTTAATGTGGCTAGACTGCTTGAGACAATCATTTGTGTTGGACAAAAACAATATGTATTCCACATTTTGGGATGCTAATTTTACTTCTATTTATTTATTATTATTTTAAATTACATACTAAAATGTAATTTTTTTTTTTTTACCTTTCCTATAAACATGTCACATGTTTCAAAACTAAGATCTCTTATTTTATTAAAAATATATGATAATTAAACTACTTAAACCATTAATACGAATACTATTATTAACTCAAATATGTGTCTTCATGCATAATATATGCATCCACGTGAACAATTTACCATTTGTCTACAAGGCAAATATTTTACTATTTTGTATTGAAAAATGATTGATATACACTCAATTTAATATTTTTTTTGTATTCGTTTTGATTAAATTATTAAAATATAATATAAATATAGTTTATTCAACTAGTTTTTATATTATATATATATGGTTATATATTTAAGTTTATATATTTTTACTTTTAGACTAAAAAATAATAATTTTTTAATAAGTATTTTGTATAATACGTTGCATCAGTATGTAAATCAATTAGGGCCCTTTCTATTACATTGAATGTTATACAACTGTAAATAGTCATCTCATTAATTTTTAAACTACTTTGGCACTTCCTAATAATATGTTTGGATTGAGAGAAATGAAGGGGAGGAGAGGGGAAATTTTTTTCTCTATTTGATTGTCAAAACAATTGAAAGGAAAAGGAGAGGAAAAAAGGTTTTTATTTTATTTTTTAAAATTTATTTACTTATTTAAATTTTAAAAAAAAAAAAGAATAAGAAGAAGAAGAAGAAGAAGAAGAAGAGAAGAAGAAAAGCCATTCCTCTCAACCCAAATATACAGCAGTAAGATTAGGATTGCGCCCCCAACAAATCGTTGAGCTCAAGGCTTCCAACTTGAAAGTTGAAACATCTTTTTTTAATGAAACTATACGGGGATGATATAGACTCAAACTGAGTTGGGATCTTAGCTATCCTGTATATCCTTTAACCATGGTAAAGAAACGTGTTCGAGTACTCCTTATAGTTATTTCTACAAATATATATATATATATATTTTATTAAACATATATATAAGTAATTATAAAACAAAAATTAAAGAAATTAACTGTTAAAAATCAAACACGCATCAATTATGATTTTCTTTGAGATTAGTATTTATCAATTGAGTTTGGAAAAAATTAGGTAAAAAAATACTCAAAATTATATTATTTTAATAAA